AATACACGTGCCTGTAAAGCCACACTGAGACAAGGAGATCACTGTGAGTTCAAGGCCTTCCTGAGCTATATAAACAAGTTCAAGGACAGCCTGTAATACATAGTGAGACCCTGCAGCAACAAACAAACAAAGATATTCATACAATAAAAATTCCATGGATTAAAAAATCAAAGTTTGCAAAACCATATTCAACACGAAGAGAACCCAAAACAAGCAGGAGGGGTAATCCTGTTTTCAAGGCAAAACTATTCAAAGGAGACATGCACACACAAAAAAAAAACAGAAAGAAAGAGAGAGAGAGAGAGAGAGAGAGAGAAAGAGAGAGAGAGAAAGAAAGAAAGAAAGAAAAGAAAGCAAAACAAATGTTACATTAATGTGTTTATTCAATAGAAAGAGATAATACTTATAAACATGCCAAGCAACAGTGACTAACCTTGACCCAAAAAACCTAATGAAAATTATATAATAAATATCAATACAATTTTAGTAAAAGATCTACACACACCATTATCAAAAATTCTTCAACTAAACAAAATTACATTAACAAAGAAATGTAAAAGTTGAACCAAACATTAAACAAATGGACTTACTATATATACAGTAATTTCCCTGACTTATTAATGAGTTCTATTCAGGGAGAATTTTGGAAGTCAGATTTCTCTGTAAGTCCAGCAAAATGGCTTCATTGGCACAGTGGACCACACACATTTCAATATATTGTTCCTTTTCTTCATAACTGTGGACATGGTTGCATGATTCATGTTATAAAAACCAGCCATGTGTACTATTTTTTTTTTACCTCTATCTGTTGTGGTTGATACACTGTGTCAACTTGAGAACTTTACACCTTTTACGAGAGACTCAACAGGGATCCAGGATCCTTCTTTGTAAATTTTCTCATACTGTGAAAGAGGAGGACAGACATTTGGGGAGTGTTACACCTGCTCTGGATTGGGGCAGTGGGCTGTGTAGAGTATAAGGGTGGGAAAGAGGCTTTCTCTTCCTCCTTATTGCTCTGGATGCTTTTGCAAGCTGCTGCTGTCAATGTGTTGCCCTGGTGCCATGCCATCCTGCCCTGGAGCCACCTGATTATGGAAAGAAACTTCCACAAACTGTAAGCTAAAGAAATCTTTCCTTCCTTAATTTTCAGTGTTGGGTATTTTGTGTCAGCAAAGAAAGAAAAGTAACTAAGACACAATGCAATTAATTATTTTCACTTTTGTTTCCATGGTTATTGCTTTGCACTTCTTAGCAGCAACATCCATACCACTGCTGCTTGCTTCCAGACAACCCAGGTTCTGATGTAGCTCTGTAAAGCTGTACATACTGTAAGCACACAACAGCACAACTGTAGCAGTGTCTGGTAGACACACAAGCAACCTTTCTGATTTCTTTACATCTACAATTTTCTGTAATGTGAGGTCCCATTTGCATCTCTGAAACTTTGCAACTTGAATGTTTGTCACTTGGAGATGTACTGTATACAGTGTTCCAAAAGACAACAGAAGATACATTCTTTAGTCTCATATAGTACTTTCTTGGAGACAGACCATATTCTGGTTAATAAAGCACAACTAAGTAAATGCAAAAGAATAAAAATTTTACTATGCATACTATCAGATTACAGTGCGATGCAAGTAGATATCAATAGCAAAAGAAACTACAGAAATTGTGCAAACAGATGGATATTAAAGACAATCACTGAGTCATAGAGAAAATTAAGGAAGAAATAAGACAGTTCCTAGAGTTAGTTGTGCACCAATATTTATGAGATACAATGAAACTAGTTCAATATAGGAAGTATAGAGAAGTGAATATTCTCATTTTTACAAAATAGGATGAGCTCAAAAACATAATGATGCATCGCAAGGTCACTGAAAAATAAGAACAATTCAAGCACACAGCTAGTAAAAAGAAAAACACTATCAACCTCATTACAGAAATCAATGAATAGAAACTAGAGGGAAAAAAAGAACCACTGAATTGAAGAGCTTTTGAAAAAATAAACAAAGTAAATCAAACATAAGCCAATTTTATCGAAAGCCAAAACATATAAAATACTACAATTAGAAATAAAAAAGTGGAATCATAATAGACATTGTCAAACTTCAAGAAGTTATTAGCAACTATTTCATGAAAGTATATGCTAAGCCTTTGCTCAGAAAAGATGGAGAGATTCTTAGATATATATGGATTACCAAAAAAGAACAAAAAGATATGAAAATCCTGAATCTTCTAGCATCAGGCAAGGAAATTTGAGAACTTAAAAAAAAAAATACCAGCTAAGAAAGCCCAGAACCTGATGGGTTCACAATGAAACTCTATAACAACTTCTGTGAATATCTAACACAAAAACTCTGCAGTAAAAATAAAAGTAGGACTTCAAAAGTCATTCTTGGAAGCTATCATTATCCTCATCACAAAACTAGAAAATAATACAACCACGAAAGGCAATTAGAGAACAATTTGTTTAATGAACATGGATGTAAAAATCCTTAATAAGATACTGGTAAACCAAAAGCAACAAATTATCAAAACCATCATGCACTGTACCAAACAGGTTTCAGGCCCCTGAATACAAAGAGGCTCAATAAACACAAATGATAATTCTAATTCCTCATCTACAAAGAAGCAAGACCCAAAACCCCATGATCATCTAAACAGGCTGAGAAAACGGCTATGATAAAATGCAAAATGGCTGTGATAAAATGCAACACTCATTCTCAAAATCCTGAAGAAAATAAGTACCGAATGTTTTCATCTCAACATGATAAAAGTCATTTATGACCATCCTCGTGCTTACATCACATGCAACGGGGAAACACTAAAAGCCTTCTCTCTAAAAACAGGAACAAGACAAGGAGGCTTCTTATCACCATTCCTGATCAATATAGTCATTCAAGGCCTTTATTTGCACATGACATGATCCTCTGCTTACAAAATGCAAAACTGTCCATCACACAATTCTAGAACTGTTAGCCAAGGTTAATAAGATACAAGGATAAAACACACACACACACATACAGAGATGAAAATCAATAGCAATGTTTTACAATATTGAAGAACTCACTGAAAAAGCAATTAGGAAAACAGTATCATTCACGATTGCATCAAAAAAACTTCAATGGGTAGATGTTAACCTAAGAAAGCAAAGAGTTGTACAGTGGAAATTACACAAATCAGAAAAAGGCAACTAAAATATCAGAAAATGAAAAGATATTCCTCATTTCTGGATAGGCAAAACTGATACTGTCAAAATGGCCTGACTTTCAATATTGGTAAACAGACTTCATGCAACCCCAAGTTAAATACCAAAGTCAATTCTCACAGAGCTAAAGAAACATTATCCTAAAATTTGGTGGAATTAGAAGAGACTCAAAAGTGACAAAAGCAACGCAGGTGGCATCAGAATCATAATCCCAAGCTCAGAGCTACACTATAAAGTTACAGTGATGAAACCCACATGGTACTGACATAGAAACAGGCATGTACATCAGTTGAAGAGAGCACAACAAACAGAGACAACTCAAAGCACACAGAGCCAGAGCGCTGTGTGATCTTCGACAATGGAGTCAAAAACATATACCGGAGTAAAGATATTCTTTCAAGGGATGGTGCTGGGAAAATTGGATACCTACGTGCAACAGATCTAGATCCACATATCTCACCATGTACTAAACTATAACCAAAATGGGCCAAAGAACTAAATGTTAAAACAGAAGCAATCTTCTGGAAGACAAAATAGGCAGTACTCAAAGACACAGGCATAGGCAAGGACTTTCTGAACAAAACCCTAATGGCACAAAATACAATATAGAGAATCAACAAATGGAGTCTCGTGAAATTAAAAAGATTCTCTATTGCAAAGGAAACAACCAACAGAAAGAGACAACCTTCAGAATACCAAAAAAAAAAAAAACCCTTATTAGTCACTCCACAGGCAGAGGACAAGCATCAAAGTATAGACCTAGTAAAGAAAGCTCAAAGAACAGAAAAATAAAATGAAATGATACTTGTTAGAAGTACAAATGGCCAATAAAAACATGGAAAACTCATCATTGCATCTGGAAATTACATAAATGCAAATTAAATATACACCAAGATAGCATTTTATCTTACAAAGATTTCCATGAAAAAAAGTCTAATGATAAATGCTGATGAGTTTTTCTACACCAGTGGTGCAAATGTAAACCAGTATGAACACTACAGCAAACAGTGTGGTGATTCCACCAAAAACTAAAAATAGAAATCCACTTGACACAGCTATGTCCCCTTGCAGAAATCTTCCAAAATAGTTAAAATCATACATACAGGGATATATAGATATCTATGTTTACAGCAGCACAATTTCTAACAGCTACATCTCTAAAATAGTGTATACATCCATTAAGAGAATAATGTAAAGGAAAATGGCAACTATACACAATGGAATACTGCACTATGAAAAAGAAAGATAACCTTGAGGAACTCATAGATAAATGAATGCAACTTGAGGATATAAAGTTCTTTGAAATAAGTCTGAAACACAAGTTCAAATATTTTCTGGTTTCTCTTATATGAGCATACTTTTCCAAATTGCATATTTTGCTTCTCCAAATATTTTTATATGCCAACTTGTTTATATTACTAGCTCATTTTCAATCACTGAAAAGAAACATTTACACTTTTTCCTTTTTATATGAAGCATTTAGGTTTATGTTTTGTACTCTGAGGAAGTTCCATGAACATAGCAATACAGTGTTCTTCCTTATTGTTTTACTACAAAAGTTATTCTTCTCATTAAAAAGCAGACATCAAAATTACTCAATAATAGAGCATGACTTGTACTGCACAGTATTCCTTATGTTGCCCAATCCAAATAATTTTTCTATCTGATGGTTTGTGTTGATCTTTTTCATTATACACCAGTCCCTAAGGTAGTCTTTCAGCTACTGACTTAGCTGACTTATTACCACTCCACAACACTGCTGAACTCTTGTTTAAAAAAAGAACAACCATACCTTTCCGGCTCATTCACCACATTCTTTGTTTCTGTCTTTTTTAACAATGCTGCTGCCGCTTTCATTCTGTTTTCCCTTAGAGCAAGCATAAGTGGTGTGAGGCCTTCCTGTGGAGAAGCAGAAACAATTTAAAACCCACACAACTGCCTGCTTCTCAGCTGAACTGAACAGCTTGTGAAGGACCCTGACTGTTAACCTGATATAGATAACAACACACAGCAGTCTCTTCCTTCTCACTCCCAGTGCTTCCACACGTGCTGCCCTGCCATACCCTCTGCAGTGCATGCTCTCTGCCCACAGTGGCTACAGAAACCCCAGGGTCACAACTCGCTCCAGTCACTGGTTCCAAGGGTCTTCCCATCACAGCCTTTATCATGGTACTCAGAGTTATGTAACACCTCCCGCTTCGATCAAATGCACCTTCAGGGCAGGGGCTGTATCTTTTTTCTCAGTAGCTCCAACCATAATGCACAGCCAAAAAGGATTGAAGGATTTGGATTAAATTAATGAGTTAAATTATCATCCCTAGGCAGAAATTCTCACCCTATATTCCAAAGAATCATTTTCCATGACTTCTATGTCTCAACAGATTTGATAATCATCTGTTTGAGAAATTATAAAACTGCATTATTTCTTCAGTATTAAAATCTCTTTACCTTTGCTTTACTCGTATTCAACACTACTTGTCTTCTGCCAAATATCAACACCTGAGGAATTAACAGTTTCAGGGAATTAACAGTTTCGGTACCATGCAAAGCAGTTAGGCAGGAAACTTGCTGAATTCTCCACCTGGTGACAGGATCCAACTACAATTCTTAACCATTCCAGCTTTTAAGGAGTACCCCCATTACATGGTCACTCAATTGTGAGATCAGCCCCAAGTGAACTTGGATCACTTCTTATTAAACCAGTTATGGCTCTTTATGTCCTATTATTAGATGAAAATATTATCTCAGCTGTTAGAAAGATGAGTACAAAACTTCACTTCTCATATATAACGGCAATCCTGGGATCCCCATGTATAACTATTGCTTTTAATAAGTTTTATTCTGGTTCCATTTCAATTACCAATGTTATACAAATCAAATGTAAAATATGGTTCATCAATAAAGATTCTAATACTGCTCAATTTGGATTTTAACATAATAAATAAATTATAACACTGCTCAGGATGGATTTTCTCATAATGAACAAATTCTAATACTGCATAATATGAAAATTTTCATACCACTAAATATGAAAATTGTATCACAATGAAACTCATTAAGACACATATTTTTAAGGGGCAAGGCTGAAATGAAAGATACAAAATTCTTGGTAACAAGCATAAATTATTCAGTTGTGATTATAATTATTAATGTCTGCAGGCATTCTGATAGGAACATGATTATTTAGAGCATATGGGAACAATTTTAAACAATTTCTAAATTCCACTCCATTTCTAAATATTTATTCTTAAATCTAGATTACATTTTATTTTTTTTTTGTCTTTTTCCTTTTTTATCAGTACCAGGGATCAACCTCATGAGCACACACTTGCCAGGCAGGCGCTTATGCCGCTGAGATAAAACCCCAGCACTTACATTACATTCTTATAAATGAATAAAAGATATTCTGAAATTCCAGAATCTTTATTAAAATATACCATCTTTTAAGAGCTGCAAACTCTCACAGAGGCACAATCAGTAGTCTGCACAGGGAAACACAGAGGTGGGTCTATAAAAGGGCACTTGCATGGTCACACAGGCTCTGAAGACAGGACAGACCCTTCTCTCTGAGCATCTTCAACTTCAAATTTGGAGCAGGGTTCTGAAACCTCCTTGTGAGATCAATTGATGCAGGAAAACTGCATAGAGCTAAGAGCCACGTTTAAGTCACAGAGTTTTGCTTTTACCTTTGGTATGCATGGGCTGCCAAATGGTTGTGTACAAAGCAAGCATTTCTGTGTAAAATTCTTCCCTTAACATCATGTTTTACCAAAAAAGTGAGGTCCTACCATGAAATGAAAAGCATTATAACTATTTCAATAATTTTTCAACACTTATACTTATCCTCCATTTGTATGCAGGTCTCCCTGCTGTTAAACAGTTTCAAAGGAGCGCTGAAAAGAAATTACCACAACAATTCCCAGCTGCATAGGGTGGTACAACCCTGTAAGCTTATCACTCTGTGAGGCTAGGAAGAGGGATCCAAGTTCATGTCTGATTTCTGCCTCTGAAACTTAGTGAAACACTGTCTCAAATTTAACAGGGGGTGACCAGTGATGAATGGTGGGGATGCAGCTCAGTGAGAAGGTCCTAGGTGCAATCCTCCATTACCCCCCCCCCAACACACACACACACTAAGAAATAAGCAATACAAATTTAAAAAGCATTCTCATCTCTGTTCTTACAGTTTCATTGATTTCTGCCAGGGCTTTCTTAACTGAATACAGTGACATAGTCTGTCACATGCCTCAACTAACTACAGATTCAAGGTGGACATTGTTCAAATTCCTGAAAATCTACATTTGTCAGCTTTGTGCCACTAGTGATTATAATGAGAGCCAGTAATGATAACAAAGAGATGTGGAATTCATCAAGACTAAGCCTTAACCATTAGTGAATTAATACAGAGCTTCCCAGTGGCACTGAATGACCAAAGGGGGGAAGGAAAGTGGTGGATTCTGCACAACAATAGGTTACACTGATGATACTCCTTTCACTTCCCATTGACAGTTGTAGAGAAAGACAAAAGGAACTTGGCCTGATTTTGTTGGAAAGGAGAGATTAGAAGGAAGTGGTATTTAATCCAACTCATCTAGAGATTTCTTCAGTTTCTGAGAATTAGGAATTCACCATTAAACATGCTTGTCCATTAAATGCTTCTGAGCTATGTCAGAATCTTGAGGAAATATTTTGAAATATCCATGTCAGGGCTTAAGACATTTACTGAACCCAAATCTCCAGGGCAGAGCCTCAACTGTTTCAAACCTTTCTCCTGACCACAGAAACACACAAGTCTAGATGAGGACTAGAGAACCTAGAAGATGACATCAGTTTCATCTCTCATCTACACAGCCACTACTTTTTACTAGTTGAGAATTTAGACAAAAGGAGGGAAGGTGAGAGACAGGTACTCCATGGAAGCTCCATTTAATCCTCTTGGCTCAGGGCAGAACAGGGACTAGTACATTCAAAATACAACTGATCTCATCATACAAGCTCCTTAACTCCCAGCTCCCAGCAAGACATCATATGTTTGAAAGGACAATTCAGATTCTTATCTTAGTTGCGGTTTCTGACTGAAAAGGAAAGGATCTTTCTTAATTATTCTTTCATTTCCCTTGTTTCTTAATTAATTACCATTCATGCATGCCAAACTGGATTGCTGGAGTTCTCCTAAAATTTCAGGTTTACAATATATGATTCTCAATAAAGGGGCGCAGCTTGAGACCATACTCATAAGTGAAATAAATCTATCTCGCATGTGTGAATACCGAATAGTTTCCCTAATGTAAGTAAAGATTCAAATATATAAAAGTATGTGGTAATCATGATTCCCCATTATGTGACCTTGAAGCCTTATAAAGTTTTCACTTATTAACTTGGAAAGGCTTTATTCTGGGCTTCTTGATATGGAAATATTTGAAGCTATAGTATATGAAGTTATATTCAAATATTTCAAGGAAAAAGATAGACACTATGTTAACTGCAAGTAAGTCGGGTTATTTGGTGGTGAAGCACTAGGTTGCTGAAATTGTCATGCTTTGACCTGTATTGTTATGTTGTTATGTCCTCTTTTATCTCAATCTCTCCCTTATTCATTAAAAAGATTATTTAGTTATTTTTTATGGTTTTTTTAATTAAGGGGAAAAATTTTAAAAATTAGCAGGATATATTATAGTAACTTTTTTTGATTTCCTATTAACTTGTTTTGAAGTCCTGTAATACTCCCACTATCTTGTTTTGACTGATTAGACTCTGTTCCATTCTATATGATAGTATCAAGAGTATGGCAACTACTTTGAAGGCAATAAGATTCACTAAGATGCCCATTCTGGTTTGACTATTATCTCCTTTGGAAGTGCTGTAATGTTTACAATGTTTAGGTTTTATTGGTCTTGTTCTCTACTGTTTTGTTCAACTTTATAATACCTAATGAGATAGACAATTCTTTTTAAGGAAGCAAGAGGCATTATGGTAACCATTGTTGATAACCTTGTACTCTGTTATCACATCATGTACTGTGTCTATCCTTGATTTTGACTGACAGCTTTGTTTTCCCATATTTGACTTTATTCTCTTCCCAAAAAAAACAGTAATAAGAACTAAGGAGTAATAAAACCCAAAATATATAATTTTGTTATAAAAAACAGAGGGAAAAAAAGTGCTCTAAAGGATATAACTGCAAGTGTGTTTAGGGGTGTTTAATAGCTGACCATATTAATGTTTTTGGTTGGATCATTGAACACAACTGTTTGCAGTCTCACTGTTTGAATGTTCACTTTGTATGCTTTGATACTCTGACTTGAGCAACTATCTCTAGGATGATAATGTGTAATCTATTAACTGGTGATTTCTTAGTGGTTTTTTTTTTTTATGTTCTGTATTACTTGTACTCTTACACTGCTTTGTTTTGTTTTGGTTTTTCTCTTTTTCCTTTTAAATAAAAATTTTAAAAAACAATATATGGTTTTCTTTTCTACTAAGAATTTTTAAGAGGATGGGAATGTAGCTCAGCATCACACAGTGCCTGGCTGGTAAGTGCAAGATTCAGAGTTTGAGTGCCACTATTGAAAAAAGCATGTAAAAAGAAAAATAAAAAAAAAAACAGAATAAAGAGATTTTATTCTCAAGCTAGGTACAGCCAGTAATCACTGCACTATGGGAATATGAGGCAGGCACATCGCATGTTCAATCTCAAATAAGACAACTTCATATCCTACCAAAAATAAAACATAGCACAGTTGAACAGGAGACACAGCTCTGTGTGAAGGGTCTGTGTTCAATTTCCAGTAATAAGGAGAAAAAAACAAATTTTATTCCTAAAATTGAAGAGCATCTTATCTATGCACATGAACCAGAAACTGTATTCCTTCAGTAGCAACTAATCAACAACCAAACACTATTGGCTTGCATTATTTCTAATCATTTTTCCTTGTCATTTTTCCCATTTAAGTCAAGTCACCAAAAATGGATCATTTTTATGAACTGTCAACAGCAACAACATTTCCACTTATTCTAAAATACTGTTGTTCTACAACAGAAAAAAAACCACCTGGTAGGACAAGCAGAAATCAAAGAACTGGAACACAACATGGCAAAGTCAAGCCAGTACATACCACTGATATGCATAAATGTAAACGGTCTCAATTCACATATCAAAAGAAATAGGTTGAAAGAATGGATCAAGAAACATGATCCCACAGTATGCTGTATACAAGAAACACATCTGACCACACTGAAATTAGAAATTAATGGCAGAATAATTGTGAAACCTGTATAATTACATGGAAATTAAATCACAACCCTTTGAAGAACCAGTGGGCCACAGATAAAGAAGAAATAAAGCAATAGCTACAAATCAATGAAATGCAGACACAACATACTGTAATCTATGGGACGCAATGAAAGCAGACTTAAGAAGGAAATATATATCAATAAATTGTTATATCAAAAAAAAAGAACGACAACAAATAAACAACCTAATGCTTCATCACAAGCTTCTAGAAAAAGAAGAGTAAGTTAAACCCAAAGCTCATACAAGAGAGGAAATTGTAAAGATTAGAGCAGAAATCAATGCAATGGAAATTTAAAAAACAGTACAAAGAATTAATGGAACAAAAAACTGGTTTTTTGAGAGACTAAACAAAATTGACAAGCTTCTAGCTAACTTTATTAAGAAAAAGCCTAAATTCAGGCAATAAAGACCAAAAAGGGGGAAATTACTACAGATCCCATGCAAATTCAAAACATCATGAATACCTACTTTGAAAATCTCTACTCACATAGCGTGGGAAATACAGAGGAAATGGACAGATTTCCAGAACCATATGAACTATCAAAGCTCAACCAAGAAGATACAGCAAATTTAAATAATCCGGTATCAACTATTGCAATTAAAATTATAATTAAAAACTTACCAACAAAGAAAAGCCCACATCCTGTGGATTCATGGCTAAATTCTACAAAAAATTTAGAGAACTTCTCCTTAAACTGCTTAAACACTTCAATGAAAATGAAAAGGAAGCAATCCTCCCTAAATCATTCCTGGAGGCCAGTATAACTCTCATACCAAAACCAGAGAAAGTCCCAAGCAAAAAGGAGAACTATAGGCCAATCTCACTAATCAACAGTCATGCAAAGATTCCCAATAAAATACTGGCAAGAATAGAATGCAGCAAAGAATCAAGAGATTATACATCATGACCAAGTGGGATTCACTCCAGGAAGGCAGGAATACTTTAACCTATGCAAATCAATAAATGTAATACAACCCATCAACAGAGCCAAAAACAAAAACCGCATGGTCGTCTTCACAGATGCACAAAAAGCTTTTGATAAAGCCCAACACATGTTCATCATAAAAACCTTTCAGATACTCAGAACACATGGTGTCTACCTCAATCTTATGAAGCCAATCTATGACAAATCAATAGCCAACATTATACTAAATGGACAAAAGCTGAAAGCTTTTACTTTAAAATCAGAAACAAGACAAGGATGTCCACTTTCACCATTCCTATTCAAATACGTTCTGGAAACACCAGCCAGGATAATCAGACAAGAGAGAGAAATAAAATGAATAAATATAGGAAAGGAAGAAGTTAAATTATCACTATTTACAAGTGACATGATACTCTATGTAGAAGACCCAAAAATTTCCATTAGAAGACTGTTAGAAATAATAAAAAAATTGAGTAGAGTAACTGGATCCAAAGTCAAAACTCAAAAACAAATAGCATTCCTGTACTCAACCAAAAAACTCACCGAGAGAGAATTTATGGAAATATCACCTTTCACAATAGCATCTAAAATAATGAAATACTTAGGAACCAACCTAACTAAGAATGTAAAAGACCTATTTGCTGAAAATTATGCTACACTACAAAGGGAGATTGAAGAGGATATTACAAAATGGAAGAGTATTCCTTGTTCTTGGCTAGGAAGACTCAATATTGTGAAAATGGCCATACTCCCAAAACTGTTCTACAGATTTCATGCAATTGCAATCAGAATACCATTAACGTGCCTCACAGAGCTAGAGAAGACACTCCTGAAATTCATTTGGAAACAGAAGAAACCTAGAATAGCAAAGGCAATTCTGAGAAACCAAGGTAAGGGAGGAGGCATCTCAATTCCTGACCTGAAACTCTATTACAAAGGCACAATGATAAAATGAGCAGGGTATTGGCAAAGAAATACACCTGGGGAACAATGGAACAGATTAGAAGATGCAAGCACAACTACAAAAACAATCAACCACCTGATATTTGACAATGGGGCTAACCATGTTCACTCTTTAATAAATGGGGCTGGAAAAACTGGCTCTCTGCATGCTGAAGACTGAAAATAGACCCATGCCTATCACCAAGCACAAAACTAAAGTCTAAATGAACCAAAGACCTAAACATTAATACAGAAACCTTAAATCTACTGGAAGACCAGGTAGGCAGAAGACTTGGAGACAGAGGTAGGCAGAGATTTCATGAACAAAATGTAAACTGCATGGGAAACACTTCAAAGAATCAACACCTGGGATCTCATATTATTCAAAAGTTTCTGCACTTCAAGAGAAATCACTAACAGAGTGAAAAGAAAACCCACAGAATGGGAAACAATTTTAGCCAACAACTCCTCAGACAAAGGACTTATATCCAGAATGTGTAAAGTATTGAAAAACATCAAGCCCAAATTCAGAGACCCTCTCCAAAAATGAACATCTGAGATGAACACACATTTCTCAGATGAAGATATACAAATGGCAAATAATTACAATGATGGTGAAAGAAATGTTCACCATCATTGGTCATTCGAGAAATGCAAATTTAAACATCATCGAGATTCTCACTCCGAAAAGAATAGCTGCAATCAAGAAATCAACTGATAACAAATGCTGGCGAGGCTGTGGTGGGGGGGGGGGGGACACAATGCTCCACGATTGCTGGCAGTGTAGACTGACACAGGCACTATGGAAATCGGTATGGAAATTTTGCAGAAGACTAGGATTGGAAGTTCCATTCGGTCCAGTGAGTTCCCTCATTGGTATTTTCCTAGAAAAATGGAAAATGTCATATACCTGTGAGATATGTGCAGCCATGTTCATAGCAGCACAATTTGTAATAGCTAAAACTTGAAAAAAACCAAGATGCCCATGAACTGCAGAGTGGATGAAAAAGATGTGATATTTTTATACAATAGAATATTACTCAGCTATAAAAAGGTTGCTGTTGAGGCTTTCATAGGCAAATGGAGACAATTTGAGGCTCTTCTCACTAATGAAATAAATAAATAATCATATTTATAAATATCACAGTGTGTCTCTAGTGTGAAATGTAATAAGAAATGTAGGAGTAGTCAAACACAAAATGTGTAATTGCTGTTGTGAAAAAGAGAGGACAAAAAACTGATCTAAAGGCTACAACTGCACGTATGTGTGACAGTACATTTGATAACCCTATTAGTAAATTTTTCTTGGAGAGCTGAAAAGAACAGTTTGCAGTATTGCTGTTTGACCAGCCACTTTGTATGCTTTACTTTTGTAACTTGAACTATATCTAAAAGAACAGTATGTGATTTATCAACTAGTGATTTCTTACTGTTAATTATTTTTGAAATTATGTGCTATTTCTACCATTTTCCTGTTGTTTCTTTTAAATAAAAAAACACTATTGCTCTGTTTAAGTTTTAAAATAAAACCAAATTCTGAGGTTAATTTTGCTATCTTGTGCTGTTTTACACTACTGCAAAAAAGAAAGAAAGAAACCTTTTGAAACAAAAATTTTACATTTTAAAATTCAGTGTGTTCACAAATACTGTAAGTGCATAAAAGAAACTCACATCCTCTAGCATTTCATTAAAACTATCAACATTGAAAGTGAAAACATTAACTATCAAGTTATTTCAAACAGTGTATTCATGAAACACTTGAGTTTCTACATGTGGAAAACTGACCAACCAATATGTCACTGTGAACACAAAAGTATTTCAGAAACTTTGGAAAGAAAATTCAGTGCTCTATACCTTGTTTTTTGCCTCAGCATCGGCACCATGCGAAAGCAGTTTTGCTGTTAGTGAAGACTTTGGATGAAAAACCGAAAGATGCAGAGCAGTGTTGCCCTTGGCATTGGCAATATTTACATTTGCACCATGCTCCAAGAGAATACTAGCACAGCCTTCCTCGTAGCATTTTACAGCCTGTGGGTATTGTAATAAAGGAGACACCATCAGCTCAAGAAACTCCAAACACACTTTCCACATGCCTGGCCAAGGAGTTATATTCAAATTACACTGACTGACTTTGATTTTCAGCATTTAAATACAATCCCTCCCATGCTGAAATTGTTGGCTGCTATTTACCTTAATCAGAGCGGTGTCATGGTCACTGTCACAGGCATTAATATCACACTTGCTCTTTACCAAGAGAGTCACCACTTCTGGATGGCCATAGGCACTGGCATAATGCAGAGCAGTCCTGGGACAGTCAAGAAGATTTTAGGAAATTACAGCGCTCCATTTCAAAATGCAAAATTATTTATGGAATTATTATGAAAATTAAATATCTTTAACAAGAAGTATTTAATTGTCTTTGAAAACATAGAATGCTTCACAGCTCTTACTGCTCACCTGTGAATGGAAGTGCAAGTGGGTGATGCTTTGTGTACATAGTGTGGGGGATGGAAGCTGCTGTCTTGCACGTACTAAACAAGGTCCCTGCACTGCGCTACCTCCCAGCCTAGTGCAACCCACTGGAATTAGTAAGAACAGGCCTCAGATTTAGCTCAATTGGAATTTAATTTCTACCCTAAGTTCTTACTTTCTAGCCATCCTTTGGCCCTTCTGTGCCTCGGGATTCTCACCTACTAAATGAGAACTGAAGTTCTCAGTTCTCTCAGAAGACACCACTGAGATGGTTAAATAAGAATCCGCACAAAATATTTAGAACAACTTGTAGAACAAATAACAGCTCAATAATTGTCAGATACTATAATGTCTACTATTACTACTTAACAAAGACAATATTTCAATTAAGTAAAATAAAATAATTAAAATGGACATTCTTTGTGGGGTTAGGATTATTTCAATAAGCCTCCAGACACTTTTTCTCATATTTTAACACCTCTGTCATTGGAAAGGCACACAAAGCTCAGAAGACAAAAGCTCTTGTGTAACTATACCTGGCAGTGTGGAAGGTCCCCTCCTGACCTTTGGAGTATGGGGGCTTTTTACTGCGTAGGATCAAACACTGTGTATGCTACTGATGTGACTCTGTAACAAAAACCAGCCTGTAAAATGTTAAGGTATACCGACCAGACTGGAAAATCCTTGCATGTGCCCATATAAGGGTGATGAAAAGACAAAAATTGAATAAAAAGGGGCTAACATGCGATACTAGGCATGAATCTGCTGAGTTAGTCTGAGCAGCAATGAAGCTGCTTCCTGGGCAAAAGGCTTCAGTATCCTGCAGTGGCTTTAAAAGTTTTCTTCATATGGCATCATCACATGATTCATAGTAAAATCTCTAAGTACAGATAATTTCTTTATATCTTTATTTTTGAAGAAGCAAAAAGTTGTCAGAAATACCAATACACACACAGAAAAAATGAAAACTATCTGTGCTTAACTAATGTTTGTGTTTTTCCCAAGAATTATTTTATTAAGACAACTTTCACTAGAATTTTATATTTATTTATTGTAGAAATCAAGGATAAGAGAAAGGAAAGAAGGGCACACAGAACCATTATTGCCATTACTGATCATGAGATAGTACAAAATGAAAGGCACAAAAATGTAAAAATACAGAATATTCAACATTGTTTCTGGTGCCAATGAAACTCTGTTAGAGTGAAAAAATTAATGAGAAACTCTTAAATATTATGAATAGAATGACTTTCTAGATAATAAAAAAGAACAGAAAATTTCACCTCTCGTTCAAATGCCTAAAAATAACAAATTTTGCCACAATTTGTATACATTTTCTGACACAAGACTGCAGCCTAATTGTGTGTAGGCAAAAGTAAACTGACTCTCGTCTCAGTGGATATATCAAAGTGCATCTTTCCCTGTTAAAAATACATTCATGTGATGCCAGTTTCAGTGATTATATATCACTCCATTCTGCAATGCACTGCAACTGATACAATCTTTCTGTGAATCCATCACTATGTTAAGCAACAATGAAGAAAAGCACATTTAACGTGTCTGTATGTTCTGAAGGTATTCTAGAAAGGAACTGATGAGTGGACATACGCTTTCCTAAACGTGGTACAGTACTTGAATCAAATTTCCTATTTGAAAAAGTCATAAGCCATCTCCAATTTTAAGCAGCAGGATAAACTGCTCTTCTACTCACAAACTCTGTAGCTGAAAAATATTTCACTCCATTATAAAATTAAATTCTCCTTATCAGGAACACTAAACATTTCTTTTTATGTTTACAGGTCATTTGTCAAACCAACCACCTAATTTAGAATTTGATATAGCTCAGTGGTACAGTAGGATTTGACGCTCACAGTGTGTGCTATCTACCTTTAAAGTAAATTAGGACCAGCCTAGCCCAGCCTGTTTAGCTGCCGCGCCTGGCCATAGGTCTGCAGAGGAGGAGCTGGGCAGATCTGGGGTGCCCTCACTGGCCTCTCTGCATGTCTGGAGGACTCTGGATATCTGCGCCCAGACTGCTGGAGTTCCCTCAGGCTTCCAGGTGCAGTGAAGGAGAGAGGTGGGTTTGAGGCTTCCACATCAGCCTCCCCATTCCCGGCTTCATTTGGAGTCCTGCTGAGCTCCCCATAGGTGGGCTGGCCCACACTACCAGCCTAGCCCAGCCTGTTTAGCTGCCGCGCCTGGCCATAGGTCTGCAGAGGAGGAGCTGGGCAGATCTGGGTGTCTGGCCTCTCTGCGTGTCTGGAGGACTCTGGATATCTGCGCCCAGACTGCTGGAGTTCCCTCAGGCTTCCAGGTGCAGTGAAGGAGAGAGGTGAGTTTGAGGCTTCCACATCTGCCTCCCCATTCCCGGCTTCATTTGGAGAACTGCTGAGCTCCCGATAGGTGGGCTGGCCCACACTACCAGCCTAGCCCAGCCAGTTTAGCTGCCGCGCCTGGCCATAGGTCTGCAGAGGAGGAGCTGGGCAGATCTGGGGTGCCCTCACTGGCCTCTCTGCATGTCTGGAGGACTCTGGATATCTGCGCCCAGACTGCTGGAGTTCCCTCAGGCTTCCAGGTGCAGTGAAGGAGAGAGGTGGGTTTGAGGCTTCCACATCAGCCTCCCCATTCCCGGCTTCATTTGGAGTCCTGCTGAGCTCCCCATAGGTGGGCTGGCCCACACTACCAGCCTAGCCCAGCCTGTTTAGCTGCCGTGCCTGGCCATAGGTCTGCAGAGGAGGAGCTGGGCAGATCTGGGGTGCCCTCACCGGCCTCTCTGCGTGTCTGGAGGACTCTAGATATCTGCGCCCAGACTGCTGGAGTTCCCTCAGGCTTCCAGGTGCAGTGAAGGAGAGAGGTGGGTTTGAGGCTTCCACATCAGCCTCCCCATTCTGGCTTCATTTGGAGACCTGCTGAGCTCCCCATAGGTGGGCTGGCCCACACTACCAGCCTAGCCCAGCCTGTTTAGCTGCCGCGCCTGGCCATTGGTCTGCAGAGGAGGAGCTGGGCAGATTTGGAGTGCCTGCATCGGCCTCTCCATGTGTCTGGAGGACTGTGGATATCTCTGCAACCAGGGAGGGTCCACAGGTTCCTGAAGCACTGCGGCCTGTGGTGAGTACCCTAACCCGGCTGCGATTGAAGAACTGTGGAGCTTCCAAGGGGCAGGTGGGCGCACAGTGTCCCTGAGGCCCAGCTTGTCTGGAACTGCGGAGTTCTGAGCAGGCAGAGGAGGGCCACTGGTTCTGTAGGCCTAATGGCTTGGGGTAGCGCGGCGCCAGAGTCTCAGTAGCTCCAAACATAGAAGGGGATTTTCAACAGATCCTGAGGAAGCTTTCAAATAACACTTGAAACACAGAAATATAGGAAAATGACAAAACGAAAGACCAAATTACAACCTCAAACCTCCAGCCCATCTCAAGAAACCCTAGGAGCGATGTATATAGAAGAAAATATATCCCATCCACCTCATATATCGGACACAATAGCCACTGAAATTGACAAGCAACTCCAGGAAGCTTTAAAGAAATTCAAACTCGAAATAATCTCCCAGATAAAAGAAGAAATGATAAAAGAAATGAAAGAGATTCTAAATATATCTAAAGAAAACACAGATAAAAAATTGGAGGAACTAAACAAAAAGATAGAATCCCTAGACGAGCAATATAAGAAACAAACAGAATACATAATGCAGATGCACAGAGATATACAGGAAATAAAAAACTCCACTGAAAGTTGTAAAAACCGCCTTAATGAAAGTGAAGATAGAATTTCAGACCTTGAAGACAGGATTGCAGCTAGTGAACAGGAAAGGAAAGATCTTTTGAAAATAACAAGGAACCAGGAAACAACAATTCAACAACTGCAAGACGATGCAAAGAAGAATAACATAAGAATGATAGGGATTAATGAAAGAGAGGGAGACAACATGAAGGATGTCAAGAGGATATTTAGAGAAGTGATAGCTGAAAATTTCCCAAGCATGAGATCAGAAACTGACATCAGGATCAGTGAAGCATATAGAACTCCAAACAGTCATAACCAAAATAAAACTACACCCAGACATATAATAATCACCATCCCAGAAATCCAACACAAGAATAGATTATTAAAAGCTGTCAGAGAGAAAAGACAAATCACTTATAAAGGAAAACCTATCAGAATCACAGCAGACTTCTCAGCACAAACGATAAAGTCAAGAAGAGCATGGAGTGAAGTATTCCAGATCCTAAAGCAAAATGATTTCCAACCAAGATTGATATATCCTGCAAAACTATCATTCAAAATAGATGGTGCAATACGATACTTCCATGACAAAGAACAGCTGAAGAACTTCATGAACACCAAACCAACCCTGCAAAAAATATTGCAAGACAGTTTAGATACACAAAGGAAAAAACCACTAAGCAAAGCAAATAATTAAACAGAACTGAAAGATAAAGATGCAACAGCAGAGAGATAACATTCCTACAATTAACCAGCATTTAACAGTAATAACCATTAATGTAAATGGTCTCAATGCACCAATCAAAAGAAACAGACTAGCAGAATGGATCAAGAAACAAAATCCAACCATATGCTGTTTACAGGAAACCCATCTAACCCAGAAAGATACTCACAGACTGAAAGTCAAAGGATGGAAAACAATTCTTTATGCAGCAGGAATCCAAAAAAAGGCAGGAGTAGCCATTCTGTTTGCAGACAACGTGAATTTTAAAACAACAATGACCATAAAGGACAAAGAAGGTCACTACATACTCGTAAGGGGAAAACTCCAAGAGGAAGAGATAACTATCTTAAATATATACGCACCAAACTCCAGAGCAACCAGTTATATAA